TGCTAATGCCAGCCTCTTTCTTCATTGGCTCCAGTTTGGAATAACCTTTAGTCAATTACACCCTCTGTGCATCTTTTTCCCCCTACCTTGTCTTCCAAATCTGGTCTGAGAAGCAAGGCTATTCAGAATCTGTCTTGAGGACTCTATCTGTTAGTATTATTTCAAAGATTCTATAGGTTGAACTCAATGTATTCTTTTTATTGAAATCTCTCAAAAAGACATTTGTAGGCAGCATATACTACCATGACATACATTTCAGCCATGACATTCTCTTCAATAGCAGATGAATCAATATTAACATCCTAAATTGCCTTACTTTGTCCTAACACCTTCCTCTTGACTACCTCTGTTAGTCAACTACACAGATTGTAGCTTCTAAACTTCAGCAGAAATAACTAAGATGCTTGGAACATCCCCTGTGTTTGCCATCAATCATGACAGCCTTTAATGCTTCTCTCAAATCTAGTCTTTCCTTAACTAATCTGAATGACGCCTTTGGCCGTTCCTATAGATTCAGCTCTAGCTGTGTTTGTTTAGATGTAGGGGTTCGGGAAGCAATCAAATGTAGGTCTAGATAGTACTCACTCCAGCTGTGTCTTTAAAGATTGTCCAACTCAATCTTTTTGTGGCAGTGGCTCTGGAGCCATGTCAGGGGGCAGAGGTGAGAGGAAGACGGGCGCTTGATGGAAGAGGTTGCACAGTAGGTAGACTACTGCTGTTAAACAGATTGACTATTGGCTGGAAAAAAGTTGCAGGTGGGGTCCCATGGCTAATAACAGATTAGAAGTGATTATTATAGTAATCAGGATATTTCTGAAAGTAAAAACAGGTTCAAAGATGTTCTGTGAGCAGCAGCATTTCTTGAAGGAAAAATGGGGGATTGTTAAATAGTGAACAGCATATGCGCTAAAAGGCAGCTCTGTGGTGTCAGTCTGTCTCTCTCACTCTTAACGTGGGCTCTTCCTCTTCTCATCAGCACCTGCATCTGAGTTGGAGCAGAGCAGGAGAGAGGAGTGTTCAGACTGGTGCCTGTTTGCATAGTCCTGCCATTGGGTTAACCCGGACAGACACTCTGCCCAGTTTTGTAGAAAAGCTTCTTCCCCGACCCCCTGCCCCCAGGAAGGTGTTATTTTCTTTCTTTTAGCCTGGCACCATTTATTGCCAAGCTCCTCTTAACTGTACATTACAAATAGCATCTGATTAAGAATGTTCTGGATGGGTTAATTAGAGTGGTGACTATTATGAAGCAAACCGCTTGTTAGTATTATGCCTATTTGATCTAGGTATTGACGTGAAGTAATTGACCATAGAGCTACGTTTAGAAAAGCTGGAATAAAGTTTTTTTTTTTTATTTCTATTATGGCAATAAATTTATATGAAACACATCTATGAAAATAAGAGTTTCGTGGCACCAAGAAGCAATGGACTCTGTGTGGGGTGGTAGATGAGGGTTGTTTTATTTTGTTGTGTTCTGTTTTCTGGAAAATGAATACATTTGTCCAGCTACTTCAAGATCAATTCGGTTGAAACAAAGGAGTAAAAACTTATTTCAGCTGACTACTGCTGAAATATGGCAACTAAGGTGATTTCAACTCCCCTCACTAAAGGACATATTTCTTCTTAGATTTAGCTCATTGACTAAATACTCCTCTGGGTAACAATTACTATATATAAATAGACTATTAAAAATATGAGAAGATATTATACACAAGGAACACATAGCATGTAACCACCTTCTTTCAAATAATGGATTATTATCTATATTATTTATTGGTATTTTGTCCAGTCCTATTATTTTCCCTAGCTATAGCATTTCCATAGGGAATTTATTCCATGAGCTAATAAATTATACCGTCAGGGGGGTTTTCTTGAAATTCAGCTTAAATTTTCCTATTCTTAATTTCATCTCATTACTCCTAGTTGTACCCCCTTGTAGCAGGCTAAATAATTATTCTCTTTCCTTAGAGACTCCTATTATGTACCCCTCTAGTCGTCACTTAGCCAAGCTATTCATATTTAGCTCCTTTAATCTATCCTCATAAATCAATTCTTCCATTGCCTTAATCATCATTATTGCTCTTCGAAGAACTCTCTAATTTTCAAATATATACAGTTATCAGGTGGCCCAGATGAAACCCGCATCCGCACAGCATTCTGTCCCCTCAGACGTGGTGTCTTCCCTCCCTGTTCACTGTGATCTGTAACTAAGCAGCGTATCAGTTTCCTGGTCTGATCAGCACAGGCTCGCCCTGTGGGCCTCAGGCCGTCACCATGGTGCTTGCCATGTACTCTGTTTGCATTCAGGTTGACTTTTATTTTGGCAATTTCATCACACGGGGAAGTGGAGTTTTGTGTTACTGCTCATATTTATATTCAGCATCGTTCTGGGCCCTCATTCACCACCATCTATCAAGTCAGTCATCACAGCCTGTGTGAGCATGGGTTTCTGTTCATCCTTGAGAATGTTTAGGAAACGTGTTGACTAAAAGCAGGCCCAGCACCTTGCCCACAGCTAAATTCCCTGTCAGTGACCAATTCCCATTGTTTACCACCCTTTAGCCAACCTCCGGTCTCCTTTAATTCGCAATTTTGCTTACATGCTGGACCCTGTACATGGATTTTATGAGTGAGCTGGGTCATGATACTGTTTTCTAAAAGGAAGATATGTTGTTTTAATGCTTACCAATTTCTTTTTTTCTAAATTGTGACTTCTTCGTGCGCTGAGCTTGTAATTCTGTTAAAATCTTTTGTAAGCTTCCCTGGCATTCCTTATCTGACTGAAAGAAGCAGGTCCCCTCACTTGCTTTATTGTTGTTTTGCTGATGTGTACAGATGTTCCTTCTCTTACTGTTTGTTCCACTTGTTTAGGAGAAGTTGAAGATATTGTTCTACTCTTTTTTAAATTTTTGTGTGGATCAATGAACAATTGATTTTTAATTCTTTAGCATTTCCTCAGTATTTTGAATTTGTATCAGAAGAAAGTTGGTTAGTTCCCTTACATATTTTGGACCTGTGAGATCTGAAATTGTAATCCGCATATGCCCAAGTTTCATTCCATTGTAAATCAAGAATTAATTTACTTTATTAGGGCATACCAAGAGGGTTAGCGCCATTCTGTGTCTACTTATGTCTTGGTGGAAGGGGCTCCTTATATATTCAGGTCTCAAAAGGCTTCTGTGAAACAAGCACAGAAGCCCCTCTCCCCCAAGTAAGCTTTTTGATTCTGGAATATACACAGCCAAACAGCACTCAGCCCCCACCCCCGCCCCCCCACCACCACCACTCCTTAGTGCTGCTCCCCGGGCC